TGGCTAGCTAGCTATTTAGGCACAAAGCTGCCTCGCTGAATCCGTTCCACTGTTCTTTTCCCAAATAAAACCGAAAAGCTATCACTATATGATAAATGTGTTAAGTGTGAAAAGATTACAAATGCAAGGTATTATATTGCAAGAAACAGAGGTTTTTGTGCTTTGATTTTTTTATGTCTTTAAATAAAGGGGAAACAGCCTAAAACATAGTTGATGTTACTACATTGGTTCTTCTAAGTATATACTATGTGTTAGAAACAGCTTACTTTTGAAAGAAAAGGTACCCAGGAATGTTTTACCTGCTTTCCTCAACTTAGAAGTTTATTTTATGCATGGTCATTTAAACAAAATTTTTTAGGAAAAAACGATCATTAATAGCACAAAAATCACAAATCATCCCCTCATGTGTTTAATCTGATTGTCATTTATTATACCTTTATGTATTCTTTATACTAAAATGGGGATCCACAGGAAGTCAAGAAAAATGTATGCCAATCTGAACAAATTCCTAGGAAAACAGCAATAGCTCTATAAATCTTATTTTGTATAATTCCTTAATAAGGAAAACTTTTCCATTGTTCCTCTATTTGTTTCCCCTTAAACTTCACTTTACACTTGAGAAAATACTTATGTGAACTGTTCTTTTAAAATATCTTACAGAACTGGCCGATTTGGCTCAGTGGTTGGAGTGTCAGCCCGCAGACCAATCAATGAGTCATGGCTTTGATTTTGGTTAAGGGCACGTACTTCGGTTGCAGTTCATCCCTGGTCCTGGTCAGTGTTGTGCTGGAGGCAGCCAGTCGATGTGTTTCTCACATCGTTGTTTCTCTCTCTCTCCCCCTCCCACTCTATCTGAAGATAAATGGAAAAATATCCTCAGGTGAGGATTTTACACACACACACACATCTTATAGAAATACCTGAATATCAAAGCAGGTATCACCCAGTACAGTAATTTGCACATAGCAACAAATCTGTAAGATTATTTCATTAAGTGTACACACTAAAAGGCAAATGATTTATTTTTAACCTTCAGTTATTTTGGAATTAAATTACATTATGGTACTCACAATCCTTTGATTGGCTAGTAATCTGAACATTTTGCTAAGTAGACAGGGCATTGGGAACTCTAATGTACCACCATATACATAAAAGCTTCCTTGGTACAGTGCCTGTTGAAATTATGTAATGAGTGCTTCATGTGTCACCAAAAAATAAGAGAGAGCAAATAATAAAGAAATCATGAGGCTCTACAAAAATAGTTTAGAAAAACAAGTTTTCTATTTATTTAAAAATAAGTTTGTAGTTACTACATTGCAGGGACAGGAATTCTTACACATACATTCTAGTATAAAAGGATTCAAAGAATTATGCATCAAAACTAACATAGAAAGTGTCCACATAACAGTAAAGAAAGGTCCAATCAATATGTACAAAAAGAAAGGGTACTGCTATTCTTGTGTGAGACTGCCATTTATAACATGATATTCCAGGTTTCTGGAAGGAAAAAAACAAAAACCTCAATAAAGCTAAATAATTAATTTGTCTTTTAAACTCTGTTACTTATTACATACAACAGATTTGCTTGTGTTTAACATTGTTTTCTGTACAAAATAAGCATAATTTTAATTTGAAAATGTGTCAGTTTCAACTTGAACCCTCTAGGTCAGTTACTTTTTAAAAATTGAACTACATTCTACATGTCTAAATATCATGACAGGATTTAACAGTTTTCTAAAAAATCTTTAATAAGACCCCGTGTCTTGCAGTTTTAATATGGTCCAAAAATGTAACTTTCTATTTTGTTTCAATTTATATTTATCATCATGAAGAATCAATACACACAATCTTAAAAGTAACGAGCATACATGTGCATCTGCATCATATATGTGTACTATATATCATCTCAAATCTATTCTTTTAGTTCCTTAAATGAAGCAACTCATAGCCACCCACTATGTGTATTTGGTTTGTGCCATATAAGGTTAATTTCCTGATGATTTTATCTGCATTAAAAAAGTATTTCAACACAGAGCTATGAAAACTAAAAAATAAGTGTGTATTTATAGCTCATAATGTTTTCTAATAGTTTTACTGTGGTGTGTACAAAGTTTATCTCTGGAGCATCAAGAGTGGTACTTATAGGCTTTTGACTCAATTTGACCTTTTCTCAGGTACTGTACTTAGTACAAAATTACTTTTCATTTAAAGTGATTAGCCCAGTATAATTAAAAACAAAAATAGTTTCTTAGTAAAGGTAATATTGAGTTCAAATCACTTGGAGATTTGGGGCAGTGAGAAGTGCAAGGAGAAAAGACTGGAAAAGGTGTATTTCTCCAATTTTAACAGGAAAATAAATTCTCAACTAAATGTAACTAAACCACTTAAACTACTATGTAAAAACTACTTTCTGAGTATGGGAGTAATTCACAGAACATAAAAGTACTTCCCCTATTATGACTTTTAAAATCATATATTTCCTGCATACAAGGAGAACAATTACAGCCCTTTAAATACTCAAGTATCTTGGTCCTTTCAAGCCTACAAAAAAGTAAGTTTCAGGTGAACAACAACATACAGAATAATTTGTTTTCATTAGATAGAAAACTGAAAATAAAATTGCTTCCAGTTGACAGTTGAGATATATAGGTATGTTGGTATGTATAAAATGGAATGCTAGAATTAAAGTAAACACTATTAACTGGATGAGCTAATTTATATTACAAATCATATTTTAAAACACACAAATGTTGCTAATATTACATAAGCAAAAAATGTTATTTGAATACATTTGTTAAAATGTCCAATCTACTGCACTGCAAATAAGGGACAATTCTAGTTGTTAACAAATACATGCCACATGAAGACTGTTTTGATCAGTGATTCTTAAGTAATCCATTTTCAAGTGACACCAAATTTATGTTTCAGACACGACCCAATCAAACCCAGACATTCTATATAGTTGTTATAATTAAATTTGAGGACAACAGTTTTGTAATAATCTTCAAATTTGTGAAGCTGTGCAATAAAAACAATGTAAACAAGACCAACAAATCTTTAGTGCAGAAAATAGTCCAACGCCATAATAGCACACGGCAAAAGATAAAATTTTAAGAAAGTATCTATTGCCCAGTTGTGAGACTGTAATTAGATTGAATATTTAAAACAGCTCATTTGCAACATTTTATAACTGTTTAGATTTGATTGGGACTTGAGAATGTTGGGGTGAAGGGAGAGAATATTAGGGTTAGGTACTTAAAAATACATAAATTGAGATTTACAATTTCCATGCATTGTGTCAAATTACAGTATTTCCAAAATTTTCAGTAAACTTGAGTTTTTTTTATTGCTCACCTAACACAACTGCCAACATTTCCTTTTGGCTATAAAAAAAACAGTACATACATGGAGTCACTGTCTAAAAGAAGATATTTTCCAAGTGGTCAAACAAAACAAAAATACGGTAATGATTTTTTCAATTCAACTTCTGCAATGTATAGAAGCTAAATTATAAAAATATAAAATCTATTATATGGTATTACTAATACATTTTTAAGTGTTTCAATTACAAATAATCTCATCCAAGTAATTTTTGCTTTACTAAGAAACCAGTGTCTAATTATGTCCAAATAAGGGTCATAAATATACAGTGTCTTTAGAACATTTACTTGTTGCAGGTAAATGGTAAATACTAATTTCTTTGCTCAAGAGTTAGAACTAATCCATACACCATACTAGAGGTATATTACACTCTAAGATTGTGTACGTGTTTCCTTTTTCTGTACACACTTTAAAACTGTACACATATTTTTTACAAAAACAGATTTATAGTCTATTATTTTTTCTAACACAATGCAGATAACATCAGGAAATTACATGTTTCAAATAGATTGCCTTCAAAAGCAAATTACTTTAATGACAAATTTCAAACATATACACTATTATTTTCAATAATGATGTAACTGAAAGACTCATTTTACTATACAACCAAGCCATCCATTTCTGCATTATGAAGAGTTCAGCTACTGAATTTTAATTATATAGTAAATATATTTGTTAGAAAAAAATAAATATACAAAAAACCTGAAAATTTTGAAATTATTTTTCAACTGCAAAATCACAGCAATCCAGTTAAGATCTGGAAAATGGTTTACTTAATTTCACAGGATTTCTGTACAAATTTAGTTACAAACTATTTAAAAAGCCCAAATGCATTGCTTTCCATTCTTCTTCAAGACAATTAAATGACAGCTAACATTTATTCCTACCAGAAATAAGTAAAGAAATAATTATGTAATGTAATTTGCCAAGGTTCAATTAAAGAGTTTATTTTTCTACATCAGGGTCATGCTGATACATATTTTCCCATCCTCCCTTAAAAAAATGTAGTATCTGAAAATTTTGGTTACATTTTTGTACCATACCAGTCCTCAGAAAATACTACATTCTTTCAACTTTTTAAAAAATGGACAATTTTTAAACAATAGAAATGGTCTTTATGTTGGTTTTTAAGGTATAAAATAAGTAACTGTACCATAAACAAATAAATAACTGCTTTCCTTTTCCATAGCAGTACATATAGCAATACATTCTCCTAAGTCATATAATTATCATTTACAATAGACAACTTAATTTTACTAATGATGCAAAAAATAATAGAATACAAGGCACAATCATTAAATGGAATTTTTCTTTAGGGTGTATTGACATACCAGCGTGATAAGGATACCATAAAAAGTGCAGGAAAAACACAATGTGCAATGAGACCACTGTATAAAACATGATTGCATAAAAAGTGATTTGGCCTATTTTAACCTTTAATAATTGAAAATAACCAATCTTCCCCTTAAAATTAAAACTATAAAGTATGACATTTTAAAATTATTTTTATTCTACCACTATCTAAAAAATCCTGAAGAAAAGAATTTATACCTGGGTAATAGTATATAAGTATGTGTTTGTATATATATTTAATTATACCCATTTATCAATATATACACATACACACACAGACACATTTCTTTGTAAGTCATTTTAGCCTATTAGATATATCTAAAGTTTAGAAATGACATTAATCCAGATCAATAAGTAAACATCAAATCCCATACCTTTTCCTGTATTTTCCTTGAATCCTTTAACCACTTAAACACTTTCTCTAAAACATCTCTGTCAAAGGACCCACCAGTGCATTACTTTCTACTATTAGTATCAAAAAAAGATACATCTCAGCATAACTCTTTAATAACTTGCTCTTTAGAATAATATATAGCTTTTCCAATACTGAAAAGTGTATGCTGTCCTGACAGTCAAAAACAGGCTTTCCACTGCACTGATTCTCAGTCTTTGGCACAATAAACAGAGATTGAGTGATTGATATAAGAATCAAGGTCTGAAAAATTAGACAGTCAAATGTTTTCCAATGTGGATATGTTTCCTTTTCATCAGTATATTTTCTCTTACATTTGGCAGAAATGGAATACAGCAAAAGCCTCCTCTAGATTCTTTGTAGATCAGTATTGTACAATTAAAATTAAACTCTTTAGCGTTATCAAATTGTGGGAATTTTATATTTACCTTTAGAGGAAACACATATTTCTTAATTTACTGCTGCTCTAGTAACATGTCTTCCTAGGGGGCAGGACTTCTGTATCAATAGAAATGTACCTGGCTTGGTAAAAAATAATTCATTTTAACATGAAATGCTCTATCACTAGGAATATTATGCTCCTTAAAAATGTCGCAGAACTGTCTTTTCCAGAAATAAACTGGGAATTAATTATAGGTCCTTAATTTCATTTTTTTCTGAACAGTGAATGAAATGAATGTTGAAATGCATAACCTATCTAAGGATAATAAATAGCAAACATTTAAAATATATATGTATATATTTATATATATATTCATTTAAAGAAGTGAAGTGTCTTATAAGTTTGTTTACCTTTTTTTTTTGCAAATCAAATCATAACATTCCCTAATCCACCACAGCAGCAAGGAAGCAGAAGCCTTAGTTCTACGTATTCCTTAACTGTACCTGCTTTTTGATTTTGAAGTAAAATAGTTTGGTACAAGTTACCAACCAATTAAATTAGCTTTTGCTTTTTCAGTCAGCTTTCGGACTCGTCCTCTGCTAGAAGTTCCAAAAGTCAAAGAGGTGTCTTCAAACAACAGCTGCCTTTGCTCCTCTTCAGAGTCATCCTCATTATAGAAAGCTGTCCTTCGACCTTGGTTTCTAGTTCTCATGTGCGGTTCAGAGCCTTTAAGTTCCTCAAACTCTTCATCCTTATCCATAGGATCATCTGTCTTTTTCCGGTTACTTCTTCTTAGCATTTTAACACCTGCAGGAACTATGAGATCTGAGTCTAGTTTTTGTGTTATCTTCCTTTTGGGTTTTCTGCCTCCACGACTCTTTTTCTGTAACAAATCCTCCTTTATAGTATTAGTTTCAGGAAGAAAATTGCATGTCGAAGAAGGAACTACTTCATCTCTGATAGGGTGCACATTATTTTGCTCTGTATTTTCTGGCTTTGCATACTGTAGCTTTTTGGGCTTTCTACCCCTTTTCTTGTGTATAAGTTCACCAGTATTGGTATTAACTTCTACCTTAGGTTTCCTTCCAGGTCCCCTCTTCACAAGTTTAGATGGCTGCCCTCCATGGCCATTTACTTGAATGCTTCCTGGTATAAGAGCATTGTTCTTACAATCTGTTAAAAAGGGAACATCACACTTAATATAAGAAACTGCTTTTTTATTTGACCCTCAAACTAATCAATAAGGCCATCGCTATACTTACATGTACTGACATAATCCTAATTATTTTTTTACTAACACACAAAAAAAGTGACAAAATAATATTTACAGGCTTCATTGTGCTTCACAGATATTACCTTAAAAAAATAAATAAATTGAAGGTCTATGACAACTCTAAAAGTAAGTCTGTCAGCACCATGTTTCCAACAGGCTCAGATAATGTTTAGCATTTTTTAAGTAATAAAGTATTTTTAAAACAAGGTATGTACATTATTTTCTTTAGACATAATGCTATTGCACAATTAATAGACTATAGTACAGTTAAATATAACTTATATGCACCAGGAAACCAAAAAATTCGTGACTTCCTTTATTGCCACATTAGCTTTATTGAGGTGGTTTGGAACCAAACCTGAAATATCTCCAAGGTATGCCTCTATGTGTGCCACCATTATCATGATTAAAATCCCACTCTAACAATCTCCATGATAAAGGCCATGATGCTTTATTAAAATATAAAAGAAAATTTAGGAGATCAAATTTTGAATGTGTAGGGTCTGGAGAGCAAGATGCATGGCCTTTCTGTGGTAAAAAAATAAATAAGAATTTTAAAAATTCTACTACCCTTTCAAATGAAGAAAAAAGATGATATACATGCACTACCACTGACTTTTTTCTTCCCAAAATTTTCAAGTTTTTTTGTTTGGTTGTGGTACATGATCTGCAATGCAATATTTAAAAAATATGGAAATTGCTTTTAAAGAGAATGCATCTTCATAACGGGACTCTTCTGTCATGGGTTGGAGTTGTACATAAATATTCAAGAAAAAACCATCAAGGTCAGAGCCAGGAGCAGAGGATGAAGGCAAAGCCCTCAGCCCAAAGAACAAATGATTTTCTTTAGACTGGTGGTTTTCTATAATGATGGGGGTGGAGGGAAAAGGTGTGTGTGTGTGCGTGCATAAAGCAGTTAAGCATTTTCTAACAATTAGTAACAATTCTTACTCAACCTTCCTGAGAATTCTGTGTATCTCTTCATTTATAATTTATGACTTACATAAAGACTACTGAAAAGGGTCCTAAATATCCAGTCCATGTACCCCCTATAAAAGTTCTACAGACTGGATTAAAGAACTCCAGAAACTCCTTGAAATAGTCCAAATTTTGAATGGATATGTCTATGTGCATTTTCTGGGGAAGAGACTTCAGGTTTTATCAACTTCACAAAGTAATATATAACCTAAAAAAGGTTAAGAACTAATGCAGCTCTCTTAAAAAGGAATTCAAGGGCTAAAATTAATTAATTAATTAAAATAAAAATCACTGATCTGGACCTGTACTGTCCTGGTAGTTACTAACCACGTGGTCTACTGAGCACCTGAAATGTACCTATGTCATTGAAGAACTGAATTTTAAATTAAACTTAAATTTGAAAACAGAAGCAGGATACATTTTAAAACACTGATTACATGTTGAAATGATAATATTTTCGATAGAACAGAATAAAATACATTATTAAAATAGATCATTTCACCTGTTTGTTGTTTAAATTAGAGGTAGCTACTAAAAAATTTTAAATTATACATCTGGCTTATATTTTTATTGGACAGCACTGCTCAATTTTAGTAGTTAATTCAGGTGTCAATATTTATATAATAAGTCATAATTAATGAGTTATATAATAGCTAATTATATTTCTATACTGTACTGGTACTCTTATGTATCTGTAATACTCAAAAATGATAAATCAAATTAGCTACTTACCGGCCCTCCCCTTAGTAATGCTAGTACTAATTCACTATATACATTTGATTTCACTAGGATTCGGAAGTGATAGAAGCAAGGTCAACATACTATTTAAAACTTTTAATTCACCTCAGAAAGGAAGAAAATATAAGCCACTCACACACAAACTCATTTGCTTCTTTATTCAAACACACTGTCCACTATATATTGAGATTATTTAAAAAGGAATAATTAGCCCTGGCCAGTATGGCTCAGTGTAGGCTGTCAGCTCTCGCACCAAAGGGTCAAGGGCACGTATCTGGGTTGCAGGATCCCTGGCACTGGTTGGGGCTTGAGCAGGAGGCAACCAATCGATGTCTCTCTCTCTCACATTGATGTTTCTCCCCCACCCCCATTAAATTCTCTTTAGAAATCAATGGAAAACTATCCTTGGGTGAGGATTAACAGAAGAAAAAAAAAAGAATAATTAAACACAGGAATTCAAATTCTACTGGAGATAGACACATATAAAAAGAATAATTTAGCCCTGGCCGGTTTGGCTCAGCGGTTAGAGCGTCGGCCTGCAGTCCGGAGAGACCCGGGTTCGGTTCCCGCTAAGGGCATGTACCTCGGTTGCAGTTTGTCCCCGGCCCTGGTTGGTCGTGCGGGTGGCAGCCACTCGATGTGTCCCTTTTACATCGATGTTTCCCTCTCTCTCTCTTCCTCTCTCTCCCTCCCACTCTGTACAAAAAATGGAAAAATGTCCTCGGATGAGGATTAAAAAAGAAAAAAAAAAAAAGAATAATTTACTCAACAATTTAAGTAAGTGCCACAAAAGTCAATGAACAGGGTATTCGGGAATACAAAGAAGTGCTTGATTTTGTCTCAAGAACCCAGGAGAAGGCTTCCTGGAGAAGATGACATTTGAAGTGAGACTTAAAAAGTAGTAGGAAACCATTAACCTAAAAAGAAAAAAGACATTCCAAAAAAAAGAAAAGGACACATCATTCAGGGACTTCCAAATGGTTTAGGATGGCTGGGATATAAAAGGGGGAAAGCAAATAAGACAGCTGGAATGTTAGGCAACAGCCAAGTAATGAAAAATCTTGTATAATATGCAAAAACATTAAAATCTGATTCCATATATAACTGAAGAGCAGGGAAGGATTTAAATGTGTTTGTGCACTTGTGCTAGAGAGAAATGATTAAAAAGGTCACTTTAGCTGCAATGTGGAAAGACTGGGTGAGGAAGAGTTAAGAACTGAGACATAGAGACCAGGTTAGAAAATAAAGACAACAGTCCCAGGGAGAAATTCTGTAAGCCTGAATTAAGGCCATGGAAGTGAGAATGGCAAGGAGGAGATAGGGTTTAGAGATGTTAAAGAGGCAGAAACTAGTGATTATCTAGATCTGGATGCTGAGGAGAAGGCTAGTATAACCCCTGGATTTTAAGCTTATGTTAGTGGATAGATTCCAATGTCACTAATCAAAATAGGACATTTCAATAAAAATTTAAATTTTGAGAGGTTTCTGGGGAGAACACTGAAGATGAAATGGTTTAGATACAATTGGAAATCATGATACAAAATGCTTATTGTTGAGATGTCCACTGCCTAAGCTTTAATAGTTTTAACATGTGACAGGGTGTATGTATATCATTAACCTTCATCATTCATACATGCCTTTAAAACAAAAATCTGCAGATGAAAGAACTTGGAAGAATAGCTATAAAAGGCCAAAAGTTGTATACTAGAATAGAGGATCTAGCTGTAGTGGAGACAATCGTGATGAATTATTATTTAGTAAAGACTACTGTGCTGAATTTTGTGATGTAATAACTAGTTTTTCTAAAAAAGTGAAGACTGCTACCTGGCCTAACTAAATCCAATTTAATGAGAGAAAGAGAGGGAGAAAGAAACATTGATCGGATGCCTCCAGTATGAACAACCAGGGATAGAACCCAAAACCTAGCATGTGCCCTATCAGAAATCAAACCTGCAAGCTTTTGGTGTACAGGACGACTCTCCAACCAACTGAGCCACACCAGCCAGGGTTACAATTTATTTTCATTCCATACAGAAAGATTTTCTTGGCCTTTAAAATTTAATAATACATTTTGCTTTTGGCACAAAGCTGCAAATCAAAAGATTTCTCATTCAAATTAATCAACTAATACAGAATGTGACTTTTAAATGAGCAACCTAAAAAAGCTGATAAAGTGCTAACTTGGAACAAAAGCATCATTTTTAAGAAAGATCTACTGTATCTTGAAAGACACAAATAACACCTTACCTTGGTCAATGACAGCTGATGACTTTGAAAGAGTGGATGTCTTTGAGAGTACAGATGATTTCATTTTACGTTTGACTGGCTTTTCCTTTTCCAAGTTTTCTTTTGCAGAGTTATTCTTAGTACCATGACTATAACTGGATTGACCAGGACTTGAAAAAGCATTCAAGGTTTTGGAATGTTTCAGAGAATTCTCTAGAGCTACAACACATACAAAACATTAAAAGCTAAGAGTTACTTAATCTAAAACAAGCAAGAAGGTTGGGATTACTCCTAACCTGAATTGCTTGAATTAATCAAGAGGACTAAACCTGGGGGATGCTGAAAGCTTCTTTGGAAAATCTACTTTCAAAATAGGAAAAGGCATAAACACATACTCTTAATTTTAAACCTTTTCTCATGGACTGTCCCGTCACTTCAAGATTATGAAGGCAAGCCTTGGCAAACTGCTAGTAAGTCTGGATACTAGAATTTAAATTCAGGCAGTTTGGGTCAGAGTTGCCATTTTTAAGCACTATTCTACACAGACACTCAACCTCAACCTTTTTTTTCTTATTAAAAATAATTTGTTTTTAAAAGAGCAAAAACAAAGAAAAACCTAACAGTGTCTGCTAGAATTTACTAAAATCCAGTACATCTGGCAAAGTAAAAGTTTAAATTTAAAAAAATCATTATATGTATTTTCAATTTAGAAACTGTAAAGGATTCTTACTTGTTTTCCCTGGCACTGCAGATGTATTAGCTTTCGAAATAAAGGTCTTTGCTGCTGAAGAAGTAGAAGGTTGCTCAGTGGTAACTGGATCTACAACCACTCGGTTGCTTCTGGTTCGAACTACAGAGCTGGATTCTGTTTTACCATTTATCTGAGCAGCATTGTGCCTTGGTGGTATTAATCGTGTAGGTGTAGAGAATGGAGAGGTAGAGATATCTGACTTTAGTTGGGGTTTTACAACCCTTTTTTTCCTTTCAGGGCTGTAAATAAAATAATGTCTTATTAGTTATTCTTATAGCTCTACGTGGAAGAACAAAACACAATTTTATAAATACTACTGGATTCAATATTTGCACTATTATGAAACATGTTAAAATATGGATTTCATATGGAATATTTAGTGAAGGATTGCCGTAAATGCTAGTTATATATGACAGAAAGCATGATGCCATCACTATCCTAAAAATGCTCTTTTACTGTATAGATTTAGCAGTTTGAATTTAAGCACTTACACTATTATAGCTTTAGTTAAAAGATTAAAAATCCTCCACATCATAGGAACTTGCATGTCAAATATATCATTCTGCAATATAGGGAATAGTAAAGGAAGTATTAAAAAACACTGAGTTCTATCATTTAGATGAAAAGTTATAGATCAGCTGATGCTGTTAAAAAGAAATCGAATACCTTGATGCAACACTACTGGAAATAGAGCTGCTTCTGTTTCTTTTCTTCCTCCTTTTGGTTATTGTATTTCTTTTATGAAAACGAAGAGCAGATTTATAATCTGATAAAACTGAACTGATGTGTTCTTCAAAGAAAGCAGACAGGCGCAAACTCATGCTATAAATCTATGATAAGAAAAAGAAACTATTCAAACATTTCTCAAAAGAAAATGCCTCTTCAGTAAATATTAATATAATTTAAATATTTTTCTAGCCAAAAGTTTTTAGAATTTATAATTTGCTTTTTCCCAAATTATTTTGTCGAAGAGTAAAATGGACATTTTTACTATTATTTTTATATTTAGACTGGAAACCTTCCAAGCTTTGAGATTCTTAAAGAAAAGCCCTACAATGAATTCAGATGGCTTATATAGACAGGGGTTTGAATCTATTTCTCATTGCTACCTAGAACTAGCTATCTATTCTTTATCATTTCACTTGTACACGTCACCCCTTTGTGATGTCTTATCTGGCCAAATGCAGTAAAAATTAGTTTTACATTTTTATGAATGACTCACAAAAATGCTCTTTGCTGCAAAAGTTAAGCCCACATAGCTCTAAAATGTACCAGGACAATACATATGTGGTATCTATTTAACCACACTACTTTGAGAAAAGTAGCCAACCCTAAACATTACTGATATCAGTGTTATTTCACAGAATGAACAAAGTAGAAAGTCAATTCTTTTTTCCACTAGGATCCCATTAAGAACATAAAAAGTTAATAAATTTTAAATAAAAATGACAAACGTCTTCTAATAAGTTCATTTAATTTAAACATAAAAGAAAACTAATTACATACCCTTGATCTTTTGCTTGGTGTATATGCTTTAGAATTACTAAAAATAAGTCTGACATCTTTACATAACTCCATTGGTGACTCATAATTTCCAGCCTCTAAAGTTTCTCTAACCGTAGCAAAATCCATTGGAGTGTCAATGATGTCTCTGTAGTCCTAAGAGGAAAAATAGGTGGTATTATTATCATTACTACACAAAGCATTACATCTCAGCATAGGGATTCAGATAAAATTTTTGTGATGAACCAAAGTCCTAGAATTATTAATAATCATTCCTTGTTTTTCTTACCAAGGCTTCCTTTTTTCTAATAATTGTTTTTTCATGCTTCCTCCCTTATATTGCATTCGATACAGGATTTCTCTCATTCAAGAACCTATTAAGTTGCTTTTTTCACCCCCATGAAGAACAGGTAAATGGAGGTGTGTTAGAAGGGGAACAAAAAAGTACTGGGAAAAAAAAAAATCTCAGCTGTACAACTGCAAATATAAGTTTGTATAAAAAAAACCCCAAAACTTTATGCTACCTATAAAACTCTAAAGACTGTTGATTTACTGAAACATAATCGTAATTTTAAATAGTCACAAAGCCCATGCACTTCATTCCAAAGAGAAGGGGAATCACCCAAAGTCTCCACCCAGTCAACTGTGCATAAAAAAGCAATAAAAACAGACAAGTGAAAGCAGAAAAATACAACAGAATAGCAGAACATTAGCTGAATATATTATCTCTTAATAAGGATAAAGAGTACTGTACCTTTTCCACTGCCTTGAAATATGTAACTGTATTTTTTGAAATATAACTTGACCTTGAACCATCAAGTTTAAATTATTACTTTTAATCCTCACCCAAGGATATTTTGTCATTGATTTTTTAGACAGAGGGGAAGGGAAGGAAAGAGGAAGGGGGCGGGGGGGAGAGAGAGAGAACATTGATGTGAAAGAGACACATCAATTGGTTGCCTCCCTCATGACCCCAACCAGGAATGAGAATCGAACCTGCGACCCTTGGTCCACAGACTGATGCTCTAACCACTGAGCCAAACCTGCCAGGGCTCAAGTTTAAACTATGGTCAAGTATGCTTTACCACAAAGCAAACAGGATTACTGCCATTTAGAAATAGAAGTTTTATTTCTTCCTTAACAATCTGCATACCTTTTATTTCCTTTCTTGCCGTGTTCCACTGGCTAAAATTTGCAGTACCTTATTGAATAGCAGTGAAAATACACATTCTTGCCTTTTCCCAATCTTAAGGGGAAAACATTGTTTTTCATGATTTAGCATGATGTTAGCTGTAGGTTATTATTTAATAAATGTTTCTTTACTAAGTTATGGAAGTTCTCCTTTATTCCTAGTTTTCTTAGATTATGCCTGTCTATTTGGCATCCATTCATCACAGGGACAATTATATTAACCATTTTTTCTTATTTTCCATATTCTTGATGCTCTGGCATTTTGGGGCCTTACAGACCTGAGAAGACACTACCCTTCTTCCTTGGGCTAGCCAATTCTTAGAGATAACGACTGGCTGCACTGCGAATGTTTTTTATATGCAAACCAACCAACTCCTTATCTAACTCTCTATGCACAACTGGAAATATTCCAAATAGTGAATCCGAAACTGTGTACCCTGCCCTGCTTCCTCTCTCTCAGAGAAACCCCAGGAAATGGTCACCAAGTAGCATTGGGTGACTATTCCCTAGAATCTGCAAGGATAACAATCTTCTTTCTTCCAAACTTTGTTCTCATTTTCTCCTGTGGACATGCTGATTTTATCATACCATATCATATACAATATGTACATTCTTAGAACAAATAAGTAATCCATTCTGTCAAATGCTTTTTCTGCATTAATTAATATGATTGATTTTTGAATACTGAACTAGTTTTACATCCCTGAGAAAAACCCACTTGGTCATGGTATAAAATCATTTCATATATTGCTGAATTCTAATTTGATAATAGTTTAACAATTTTAAATTTTTTCTTTTGTACTGTTTTTGTCTGGTTTTGATATCAGGATAATATCAAAGATTAAGTGAAGTGCTCCTTTCTTTACCTGTGGAAGAGACTGTAGAATGGTGTTAAATCTTTAAACGTTTGGTAGAATTCTCTAGTGAAGCTATCTGGACTATGGAGACATCTTTTTTTGCAAGAATTTAACTGCAAATTAAATTTTCTTAAATAGTTACAGGGGTATTCAAATAACCTATTCTTATTGGGTGAAATATGGCTGTTTGTACTTTGAAAATTGGTCCATTCCGCCCTGGCCGGTTTGGCTCAGCGGTTAGAGCATTGGCTTGCAGTCCGGAGAGACACGGGTTCAATTTCCGCTAAGGGCACGTACCTCAGTTGCAGTTTGTCCCTGGCCCTGGTTGGATCGTGTGGGTGGCAACCACTCGATGTGTCCCTTTCATGTCGATGCTTCTCTCTCTCTCTCTCCCCCCCTCCCACTCTATCTAACAAAATATCAAAAAATGTCCTCGGGTGAAGATTAAAAAAAAGAAAATTGGTCCATTCCATCTCGAATGTAAAATTTATGTATGGAGTGGTTTGTAGTGTTCCTTCATTATCTTTTTAATATCTGCAGGATCTGTAGTGATACCCTATTGCATTCCTCATAGCAGCAATTTGTCTTTTCTCTTTTTAACTCTCAATTTAAATATTAAAAAAAATTTTTTTTTTCTATATTTATATTACAGAGAGAGAGGAAGGGAGAGGGAAAGATAGAAACATGGATTGGGTGCTCGCTTCGGCAGCACATATACTAAAATTGGAACGATACAGAGAAGATTAGCATGGCCCCTGCGCAAGGATGACACGCAAATTCGTGAAGCGTTCCATATTTTTATCAGTAGACGAATGGATTAAAAAGGTGTGGTACATATACACAATGGAGTACTACGCAGCGGTAAGAAAGAAAGATCTCTTATCCTTTGAGACTACATGGAGGGACCTGGAAAGTATCATCCTAAGTGAAACAAGCCAAACAGAGAAAGACAAATTTCATATGATCTCACTGATTTGTGGAATATAATGAACATAACAGTTTGAGGACAATCCCCTAAGGAGTGGGGAGGTGAGAGAGGGATGAACCACAGAACTTATATGCATGTATGCATGAACAGTGGACGTGGACAACAATCTGGGGAAGGGGCAGGGAGGGAAGGGGGAGGGGGGAATCAGTGGGGGAAAAAAGGAGAATCATTTGTAACAAAAATTAATCAATAAAAAAAGAAACATGGATTGGCAGTGTCCTACATGCCCCCCAATGGGGATTTGGCCCACAACCAGGGCATGTGCCCCAAACAGGAATCAAACTGGCAACCTCCTGGTGCATGGGTCAATGGTCAACCATTGAGCCACACCTGTCAGGCTTGATTTAAATCTTACTTGAGTTTTGCCAGTTTTATTGATGAAGTACCAGCTTTTGGTTTTATGCATTTTCTCCAGTTTTTCTGTTTTCAGTTTCATTGATTTCTGCTCTTAATATTTCCCTTCTTCTGCTTGCTTTTGGTTAATTTTATGCTCTTTCTAGGTTCTTAAGGCAAGAGGTTGGATTACTGATTTGAGACTTTTCCTCTTCTGATGAACTCTTTAGTGCTATCAATTTCCCTGATTTGCTTTAGTTGGATCCTGCAAATGTTGTTATGTTGCATTCATTTTCATTAAGTTCAATGTATTTTTTAAATTTCCCATAAGTCTTCTTTGAATCATGAATTATTTAGAAGTATATTGTTTAGTTATCATGTGTTTGTTTTATTACTTTTCCATTACTGATTTCTAGTTTGATTACATTATGTTTGAAAGACATACTATAAGATTTCAATATGTCTGTCATTTAATTGTTTGGTTTGTTCTGTTTATTTTTTCCAATCTTATGGGTCACTTGAACAGATTTTAGAATTCTATTTGATTTATCTATAATGTTCATGACTATTAACTCTCTGAATAGTTTTTAAAGTAGTTGTTCAGGTATTTTATACTAAATACATAATTATCAAAACATAATGGTGTCAACATTTTACCAGTTCAGGTGATGCATAGAACCCCCCCCACTCATATTTTTTACCTTTATCTTCACTGATTATTTCATCTGGTCTCTTCAGTGAGTTTTTATTTCAGTTATTATTTTTTATTTCTATTTCCATTTGATTCTTCTAATTCTTTTTTGAGACTTTCTTGGTATGACAAGAGATTTTTTAATGGAAACCTGGACATTTTGAGTCTAAGACAGGATCTTTATAAAATCTTGTGATTTAGTGGGTCTACTCTTAACCCACTCTTTGGGCTAAGAGGAGGCCCTTGCCTTGGTACTGCAAAGTAGCGGCGGAAGTCCAGGTTTTATTCGTCCTCCACTGACACTTGAGGATTGAGGAGTATCTCCTTGAAACTGCTGGAAGGGATAGTTCCAGTTCCTTACTAGACTTCCACTAATACCAGCAAGGGTGGGAGTATCTTTGTTACTACATAGCTTCTACTGACAGCATGGGGGGTGGCCTTGTTATCACTGACCAGTGGTTAAAGTCCTGACTCCCCACTAGGCCTCTGCTGATAACTACCCAATGAGGTAGGGGAGGGGTACCTCATTATTGCAAGATGGGGGCTGAAGTCTAGGCTGGTATTGGTTCTCTACTGGTCTTTGCCGGTGAGAAAGGAGTAAGGCCACAATTTTTTTCTATGGTATTTGGCTGGAGTAGAGCACCTACTGTCTGCAAGTTTCTGTGTTGCTAAGGTGCCCCTTTCCTGGTCCACTGGCTAGAAAGAGCAGGCTTTTCTGATCAGTGCACGCTGGCATTTCTACATTGTCACTTTCTCCAATATCCAGACTTGAATAGATAAAGCAAGAAACATACCCAGGAAATTTACTACTGTGTTATTCCTCATGTCCTGAGGTCCCTAGCCTGTCCTTCTCTCCACCTTTCAGAATATTCTTACATTTCTTTTATACAAAAACATCCACAATTAGGGGAAAAAAATGGCAGCAGAGTGAATGAAAACTACACAGACGATCTCCCAGGACCAACGGGAATTACAACTAAAAGACAAATCGTTGAAAAAGGGCAACAGAAAAGCAGTGGGATAGGACCATATAACCAGGGACACTGGTAGGATCTGCGGAGGCGGGAGAGGGTGGCAGGCTGGGAGCCCACGAACA